CTGTCACTGCTTCTTTGGTGAGAGGGGAGTGTGGCGCAGATGAAGTGCTTCACAGATGTTGGTGGCGGGGATAAATGACAAGGCCGGGGACTTGAGAAGAGTCAGCTAAGGACGAAAGTGATGGCAAGGGGAGACACTGAGCTCCAGGTGCTGGGGCATCTGGGAGGTGACGAGTCTGGGCAGTTGGAAGTAGGACTTAGGGGAGAGGTGGGGGCTGAAGCTTGGCCAGGTCACGCTGGGACAGATCTACAGGTGTGACAGTAGCACCATCAGCCGGCTGAGCTGCACACCCCAAGGGGAGTGGCCACTCGCAGCCCCCTGCTCAGGGACCTTTCGTCAGCTTCCCAGGGGGCCTCCTTGGACAGAAGCTGAGAGAGGAGTCTGGGGGCCAGGCCCTCCCTGGGTGAGGGAGCAGCAAAGGACAGGCTGGCCGCGACCTTTAGGGCTGGGGCTTGGGGGAAGGAGAGACACCTAGGGCCCAAGACTCCGGTGCAAGATTTAAATTGTGCACGCTGCCTGCCTTACTTCAATCCCAGCTCTAACACCTGCGGCCTTTTGCCTGGAAAGCCCAATCAGCAGGCGCTGGAAACTGAAGACACGTTACAGGGATCTATTAGCAGTGTCAGTGAAGTGGGTGGGCTGTGGGGCTGGGCCAGGCTGGAGCTCCTCTGACCCTGTGGAGAGGGCCACAGGCACTCAGCTCCAGTCCATTGTTGCCACAGGGTCGCCCATGTGGCCCCCATGTAGCTACACCTCAAGTATCAGAAGCCTACATCTTTTTTTTTTTTTTCCAAAGATTTTTTTTTTGTTTGAGAGGTAGAGTCACAGAGAGAGGGAGAGACAGAGAAAGGTCTTCCATCCGCTGGTTCATTCCCCAAATGGCCACAACGGCTGGAGCTGAGCTGATATGAAGCCAGGAGCTTCATCAGGGTTTCCCACATGGATGCAGGGAGCACTGATTTCCCAGGTCATTAGCAGGCAGATGGGTCAGAAGAGGAGCAGCTGGGACATGAACTGGCGCCTGTAGGATGCTGGCACCGAATGTGGAGGCTTAACCTGCACCACAGCTGAACCCAGAAACCTAGGTCTTAAAGTGAAATTAATTATTTTTTACATGTTGTTCCCTATTTAAAAACAGGAGGGCCAAACAAGACGTTATAGACCACAGGTTTTTATCCTGAAAGCAGATGAGAGGAGAGGCGATGTACACTACATCCCCAGCCACTCCCAGGGCCAGGCAGCTCGTGTCTCCACACCTGTCTTTTCCCGCAGGAGGTAGACATGTCTGGGAAGCCGATGAATCACCATGAACTTCACCCCACCATGCTTGGGACCTGGAGGAGTGGCCCTCGGCATCGTCCAAGGGAGGCTGTGATATTTATGACAGCTTGATTCATTTTAGAAATGTCTTCCAGTGCAAAGTTAGGGTCTCCACGAGTGGCCGCATTCCTGGCCACACCTGAGTCTCTCCCCAACTCCAGCCCAGGTCAGTCATCGTCTCTGAAGCTGGCCTGGGCAGCAGTGTTTAGAAAAGCTCTGCAGGCTGGTGCCATGGCAAGGCCAGGTTGAAAACCAAGGACTGGGCCGGCGCTGTGGCTCACTATGCTAATCCTCTGCCTTGCGGCGCCGGCACACCGGGTTCTAGTCCCGGTTGCCCCTCTTCCAGGCCAGCTCTCTGCTGTGGCCCGGGAGTGCAGTGGAGGATGGCCCAAGTCCTTGGGCCCTGCACCCCATGGGAGACCAGGAGAAGTACCTGGCTCCTGCCATCGGATCAGCGCGGTGCGCCGGCCGCAGCACACTGGCTGCGGCAGCCATTGGAGGGTGAACCAACGGCAAAGGAAGACCTTTCTCTCTGTCTCTCTCTCTCACTGTCCACTCTGCCTGTCAAAAAAAAGAAAAAAGAAAAAAAGAAAAAAGAAAACCAAGGACCAGCAGGGTCAGCACTCCTTGCTGGGGCATCTCCTTGGGACCCGTGAGCCAGCTAGCGTGAAAGTCCCAACTGTGGCAGGATTCTAAGAGGCTCAGTGGTGTGGGATCTTCTTTCTGGTCATCTTTGAGATCTTAGACAAGCTCTCCAGCCCCCATACCCTCACTGATGAATTCAGAGTGGATAATGATATTTGCCCTTCTAACTCACTAGGCTGTTATCTGGAGAAATGAGGCAATAAATGAGAAACCGCTTTGTAAACTGTCGTCCTTGTGCAAACAGTTGCTGTTCCTGCTGCTCCTAGGTGTGGGGGCCCAGCTTCGATCTGTGGGAAGGCATTTGTGTAGTAGCACTCCCGGTGCTGTGCGTCGGGTGGGAGCTGGTACACTCATGCTGACTTAGAATGCAGCCTGCACTTTTACGGGCAGGTTCATGGTTTTCTTAAGTTAACTGATTTTCATTTTATTTGAAAGGCAGAGTGACAGATCTTCCATCTACTGGCTCATCCCCCAGCTGCCCACCAACAGCTAGGACTGGATCAGGCTAAAGCCAGGAGCCAGGAACTCAATCTGGGTCTCCCACATGGGTGGCAGGGACCCAAATACTTGAGCCATCACCTGCTGCCCCCCAGGACGTGCATTAGCAAGACCCCAGGCACTGATGTTGGATGCAGGTATCCCAAGTGGCGTCCTAACCACCGCACCAAACATGTATCCCGGGCAGGTGTTTCATGGGCTGGCAACCTGGCACTATCTGAACACCTTCACCCCAACTTGTGTAGGAGAACCACAGTAAATGAACAGAGCTCAGGGGACTGGAGGGAATGGGCAGGGCCATCTGGGGGGAGGAAACTGAAGACTCATTTGGGTTGGGGTTCTCCTGAGGGTCCAGGGAGTAGGCACCAAAGGGTTCCTCTGGGGTCCAACAGCTGTGACAGCAGACAGGGGCAGCACAGAAAGCAGTCGGTGATCGCCGCTATGACACGGGGGGAATACCGCAGGGCAGCATGGGCTCTTGGCCCTGGGGAGCTGTCTGATTGGGGCAGATAAGACCAGCCTCTTAGAACACAGAAAGCCCTATCACGCGGGCGGTCATGACTTGGTGTCACTTATCTGAGGCCCAGGCTGTACTGGGTGGCAGGGTGGGATGGTCAGGGCTCTGGCTTGGCATCAGAACTGGGTTTGAGTCCCGGCTCCCAACGAGCACAGGCTGACACTGGGCAAGATGGCCCACTGGCTGCACCTCAGGCTCCCTGTGTGTGAAGAAGGGCCTTGGTCTAGAGCCGGATGGACTGTGAGCACAGTCCGTGCTCGGCCTGTGGAGGCGCTGCGGTCTGGGAGCCTGGGGTGAGTAGCTCTGGGAAGGAGGGGGAGCAGGGCCTTGGCTGAGAGGAGAGATTTGAAGCCAAGGTGAGCAGAGGAGCAGGGAACAAGTGGAACGGACTTGGTGGGGGTGAGGACAGTGGGAAGTGGCCGTGCTGTGGCCACGGGTGGAGGAAGAGATAAGCGGGAGAGCCTGGAGTCAGATTACAGAGGGCCCCAAACACCAGGCTGCGGCGCTTAAATCGCTTCCATCAGGAAGGGGGGGGGGAGGCAGGCATTTGGGACAGGCTCACGATGTGATTAGGCTGCTTTTTAGCAGGATTAATGTGGCCTGGAGCTCAGAATGAGTGGCATGGCAGGAAGCCAGGAACCAGTTAGGACAGCTTCAAGACTCCTTTCGGATCTGTGGCCTGGGGAGATGAGGACGGGTGTTGGGTCAGGCCTACAGCTATTTCTCAGGGAACACTGACAGGCCTTGGGCCCGCTTGCATTCAGTGGGTGGGAAGAAGTGAGTCACCTTGAAAAGCAGCCTCTCTCTCAAAGGCCAGGAAAGAGAAGGCAGAGGCAGACTTCCTGCTGGCAAACGGAAGTCTCAGGGTAGCCTGGCCCCTGGGGGAGGCAGCCCCCCCCCCCACTCTGGGTCAGATAGGGGTTCTACAGCTGGGCTGCACAGGGGGTAGTGCAGGTGGGGGTGGGGGTGGGGGCTGTGCTAAGGCCCATGCTCTTGACTGCTGCACTGGTCCACGCAGTCTGCAAAGTGCCGGGCCTGGGCTAGATGTGGGAGCTGGAGTGATCAGCAAACCCAGGCCTCCATCCAAGAGGAGCCTTGGCAGCATCACATTTACAGCACGCACATCAAATGGCAGCTGAGAACCGGCTTGTTCCCATTCAGACAACGCAGGGTGTTGTGTCTGATGGGTGCCAGAAAATCTCTCTGTTCCTGGTTATTGTAAGCCAGGGGCAGGTCCAGGTTTTGCAGGGCCTTGAAGCCTAAATAATTGGTGTTGGGGGGGGGGGGAGTGGCGGGGGGAGGGTCTTTTTAGAAAGAAACTCAAATATAACTATACAAATATAAAACTGCCAGGCCTACCCCAGGCCTAGACAGAGGGGACGCAGGTGTGAGGCCCTGAAGTTTTAGCCTCATCAGCTTCCCAGGCAATTATTCAAGTCTCCCTGTTGAGTAGGTGTAGGTTACTGCAGGTGTTTTAGCTATAGTGCAGGGGAGAGGGGCCGGCAGTGCTAACCCTTACCAATGAGGAACTGAGCTCAGAAGGCAAGTCGGGATGCTGCAGTGCATTGGTCACAGGCAAGGGTGGGGGCCGGGGCTGGGCCCCGGCTCTGGCCTCCAGGGCAGCAACCAGGCTACTCCTGTTCAGGTGGCGAGGGCAGCTGTCAGGACCTTGGGGTTCCTGATGGGGCTGTCCTGGACCCCAGTCTCTCCCCCAGATTCAACTGTACTTTTGCCAGGCCTGGCCAAGATGCTAAGGGACCCCCAACCCACCCCAGGACCTAGAGGTATAGCTGGGGGAGTGGACTCTGGCCGTCTCAGGGCGACAGATGGTGCCGCCTTGGTCCCAGGACGTGGGCCATTTAGACAGAGGGGATTACAGACATCTGGGAGGTCGGCACACCCTGGGGGTGAGCAGGTGCTGCGGAGTCACACAGAGCCGAGCTGTCATCCAGCAGTGCCAGCTTCCTGGCTGGGTGGAGCCCTACAGCACGGAGGCCTCCCCAGGTCCCAGAACCCTTACCTGCTCAGTCAGGACGGCGACCACTTCCTTATAGGCCTGAGCTCACTACACGGCGGTTTGTAGGCGCCGCATTCCTGGGGTCCCCCAGCACACTGAGGCGGTTAATCTTGCTGTCCGTCCCAGTAGCAGCGTACACACCTCCGTCACTGCACTCCCTGTCCGGCCCCTTCGGACGGCCGGGTCCCTCCCACCCCACCTAACCTCCTCTAGGGAAGTGGAAAAGAAGGGGGCCCGAGCTGTCCCCCAGCTCCTCGTACGGTCCAAGAACCAGATGAGGCCTGGGGACCAGGTCCCGCGCAGCGGGCGCGAGCCCTCGGGGAAGCCGGCGGCTCAGGGGCGGGCGCCGTGGGCTGGAGCAGCCGAATCGGCCAGCCGGAGACTGGGACCGGGTGGCCAGGGCTGCGAAGGATGCCCGGCCCCGCGAGGGCGACCAGGAGCGGAGACCCGGGTGCGAGGGCCGCCCCTCCGCGCGCCCGCTTCCGCTCGCTTTCCACGCCCACTTCTGCAGGCCCCCGCCCTCGTTTCCGAGGAAAAGGCCCGCTCCCCCGGGTCCCCGGGGCCGGGCGGTGCCTCCCGCCTGCGCCCCGCACCTCCGCCCGGGCACGGCGCCGCCACGCGTGACGGTGCGCGCCGCTCCCTACGTGGGGGACGTGCCGGGTGATGCCGGCCGGGGGGGACCTCGGCGCGTCGCCCGCCCCCTTTCCGGCGCGGGAGGGCGCGGCTGCGCCCCCCGCCTCCCTCCCCAGCCCGGACGCCGCGCCCCGCGCTGCAGAGGCGCACAGCAGCCAATGGGCGCCGAGGAGGGGCCGGCGGGCGGCTGTCACCCTGTCGGGCACGGGAGCGCGCGAGCCGCCGCCGCCGCCGCGCCCGGGCCCGGGGGGCGGAGCCGAGGAGGCGGAGCGGCCGCGCCGCCGCGGGAGGACCACTGCTCGCCCGGCCGCCCGCCTGCCGCCCCGCGCGCCCGGCCGCCAGCATGATCGCCGCGCAGCTCCTGGCCTACTACTTCACCGAGCTCAAGGATGACCAGATCAAGAAGGTGAGCCCCCGGCCGCCGCGCGCGCCTCGTCCGCCGGGCCGGCTTCTGCCGGCAAGAGGCTCCGCGCTGTTCTCCCCGGCATTGTGTGTGTGCGCGCGTGTCGGCGCGGGCGGCGAGGCGGAGACCCCTGAGGCTGGGCTGCTGGCCGCAGTGTCCTTGAGACGGGCTGAGGATGTTAGATGGGCCCCCGCACGCGCGAGGAGGGGGCTGGTGGCGAGGGGCGGCCTTGCGCAGGGTTCGAGCGCCGCGGGTGCCGGGATGCCCGGGAGCGAGCCGGCCGCCGGCGGGCGTGCTGGCTGCGGGCCAGGCACCCTGTGTTTGGGGTTCCCAGCAGGGAACGTCCGGGGCCTCCCTTCCCTCCCCCTCTCCCCCCGCCGGGCTCCCCCAGCAGTTGCAGTTGTGCTGAGGACGGGGTGACCCGCCTGGCTTTCCGGAACGGGGAGGGTTGCGCAGGCCACCGGAAACTTTGCTCATAGGCCTCGGGTCCTGGAGCCGCACGTCTGAGTGGAATTTTTTATTCCTCTTAAGCTGTAATTTCCAGCCAGCCTGGGAGCTCCAGTCAGAGACCCTGGGCACTGGCGGCTGAAGGAGGCCTTGGCGTGCGTGCTTGCGGCCTGTGTGTTCCCTCTCTGGGATGCAGAGCCCTGCCCTCGGGGGGTGACTGCCTTTGACGTCTGCCCAGTGTCACACGCTGTCCCGCTGGCGGGTCTTAAAGGTGTAACCCTCCCTTTTGCCGGCTTTGCATACTGAGTATGCAAGAAACAGCCAGAGCTGCAGGGAAGGACGCCCATTTTATCAGGGCCAGGTCTGGCAAAGGCTCCTGACCCACCCACCTGGGTGTGAGTGACATTCCTGCGGGCTTAGTTGGGATGGGCCGACAAAGTCAACCTGTTTGCAGCTCAGACAGGTAGTGCTTCCTACAGGTGAGAGGTAGGAGTGATGGGCCTTGATTGGCTGCCCTGCAAGCCACAGGATGTCCCCTCTGGTCCAGCCCACCCAAGGTGACTCCGTCATCTGGCACAGCCGGAAACAGGCCTCCTGAGGGCAGTGGCCTCCTCATCAAGGTCACCGGGCCAGTGAGAGGCGGTGCCAGGGTGGGGTCTCCTCCTCTCTCCACTCAGGAACTCGACCACGCCTCCTCCTGGAAATCAGCTGAGGGGGAAGTGCAGCGAGAGTCCCTGGGGACCCTGCTCCCGGCCCTGGATCCTGGATCCTGTGCCGTGGGTGAGGAGCAGGAGTGGGGTAGTTAGGAGACCCTGCCATGATTCTGGGGTTGTCACACCATGGGGCTCACTCCTGCTGCTGGGGAGCACGGGGATCCTCCTGGCTGCTGACCCCAGCAGCCGTGGGTGCCAACCCTTGCGTTTCACACATTTCCTCGGGGGGTGTGCGTCCCTGATGTCCTTCCTGCCGGAGAAGGCCGGTCAGTCCTCTGGCGCTGGCAGAGCCTGCCCAGCTGGGCTTCTGAGGCTCAGAGGTGGGCACTGTCTCTGCTCATGGCGGCTTGTGCTCAAGGCTTCGGACTGTGCAGGAGGAGGCCTGCTCCACCTTATAGCCTGCAGCATGCACACCCCAGACCACCACCTGTGGGACTGCCGGCCAGGGCGCCTGCTGAGTTGGCCGAGGTTTGGGCTGCACTGGGAGGGACTGGGCGGTGTCCGGAGCGTTTCAGAGCCATCTGCTGCTGCGGTGGCCCGATCACCTCTGTCCTCGCACGTACTCCCTGCCAGGTCCCCTGGAGGTAGTGCGGGTGCGCCTTCGATTCACATGATCTTAAACTCTGAGGTTGTAACTCACTTATGACTCCAGGGCTCCTGGATCCTCTGGCCCCAGAACCTTGCTGGAGGAGGGTTTTGGGGCCAGAGGTTCAACCAGATAATATCATTTGTTAAGGAGATCCTGAAAAACCACATGGCTTTTTGCATCTCCCCGAGGTGCTGACCTGCCTGGTGGGTTGCGTGGCACTACATCCGTGGTGTGGTCCCCTGGAGGCTTCCTAGGCCACAGTGGGCACTTGCTCTGGTCACCCCTCAACGGTCCCCACTCCTGAGTGTGCAGATGTTGGTGGGCTACATCTGCCCTCCTGGGGCTCAGAGCTTACTGGAAACCAGCCCTTCTCACCCAGCATTCCCCCAGGCAGAGGCTGGGCAGGGGTGCAGGATTCCAAGCCCTCTGGGCTGGGCCCTGCCTGCCACCCAAGGGGAGCCCAGTGAGGGAGTTCCCCTCCCGAGGATGTGTGGGCGGCCATGATGATTCAGCCTCCGGGGCTCTGGAGAAAGACCTGGTGTCCCTTGGTCCTGCTCATCCATTTTCTTGCTGTGACCTGGAGGTGGAAGGAGGGAGGGTGGGCACTGCAGAATTAATTGCTCAGGGTGCAGACACGCACGTTTGTCTCTTCCCGGTCTGTGGGGCCCCTCGGCACTGCAGCCTCCCGGAGTAGACCCTGGGCTGACGCAGTCCGGACGTCCCACTTCGCCTCGTGGACGTGGAGCCCCGTTGTCCGGACTGTGTGTGTGTGTGTGTGTGATGTTGGTCAGCGGGTGCTGTGAAGCGGCGTCCTGTCGTGAGCTGAGTGAAGCACAGAGCACACTCTCTGGTGCTTTCTGCAGGGCGAGGAGGCACGTGTGCTCTGTGAACGGTGCCATTCATCAGGAGCCCAGACGCCTGCTGGCTCTGCAGCTGGAGGCCGGCCGCCGACCTCTCAGTAGCTTTGATGGCCTCTCGCCGGCGTCTTCCACTTGGGTTAGCCGGGTCAGCCGCGTGGAGCCTGGGGGAGGGCGAGGGATCAGTGACATCCAGAAAGGGCGGAGGGGGCCGGGCGTGTCAGACCTCGGCTTTTCAAGAAAGCCTGGGCCTTGCCTTCCTCCAGACTTGTCAGTGCGGTGGGTGGGGTCCCTGTAACCCTCCACAGCCCCTGCAAACACAGGCGTGGTTTGTGGGAGCCCTGGAGTGCTTGGTCTTGGCAAGGTGTACCGGAGGTGAACCCATGTGTTCCAGCTGCCAGAGCAAGCATTAAAAGAATAATAATAATAATAATAATAATAAACAGACCCTCCTTACCGCTTTGGGGGTGAGAGAGGTGAGAATTACAAAAAGATCAAAGCGTTTCCCGCACCTCTGGGCCAGGTGTTGTCCGGAGAGCCGGTGAGAGCCTCGCTCCTCTGAGGCTGCATTTCGTGTGCCCTGCCCCCTCACCGTGGCCGCTCCTAGGGTTTCTCCTCCTCCCGAGCCCCGTCGCTTCAGCTTGGTGGATAATTTGGGAATATCGTGAGGGAATGGACCGAGCAAGTGGGGCGGCCACACGGCGCTTTCACATCTGGCCGTGCTGCACAGCGCTCCCACGCTCCTGCTGTTCCCCGGAGAAGCCATGGGCAGCCTTTCTCCAAAAAAGACTGATTGGGCGTGACTGGGACCGTCTCTGTGTGTGTGTCTGCAGTCAGGGAGTCCTGGCTGCCAGAATTAGCCACCCAAGTCAGCACTGAGCGCCGGGGAAACCTGGCTACAGGGCTGCAGCCATGTCCCTCTGCATCCGCCAGACTGCTGGCACCTGCTTATTGATTGGAGGACGTTTGGAAGCAAATCTGATCACGGGAACTCAGCCATTTCTCTAGAAGTCTTTGAGTTCGTTATATGTGGAGTACTGCGCCGGGCCTGTAAGCCAGGCAGAAGTGGTCTCTGCTCACAAGCACACATCATTGCATGCTGTCCCGGGGTACGTGCAGAGACTGCTCTGAGAGCACCGGGTCGTGCTGCAGCCGAGGATGGGGAAGCACTCACTTAGGAACTGCTCGAAGCCGGGCTCCAGAAGTTATCTGGGGAGGGGATGCCAGTTCATCTGTTTGAGGTAGCAGGACAGGTGCCCACTGCCTTCCAGACTAATAAACAGTAACAGTGGATCTGCTGAAACCACTTCCTGTGCACAGGGTTGTGTCTGTGGTACCTGATCTTAAAGAAAGATGGGTGCACATTTTACTGATTGATGGGTTTTCATTTCAGGAAATAACATCACCCTTTGGCAGGCAGTACAAATGGTGATATTATACTTAGAAACTTTGCAAGGTGGAATTACACGGGCAATCACCCAAATGTAGTTTTGCTTTCTTTTTGAATGGTTTGTTATCTCTGCACATCCCCCAGCATTCAAGGGGTGTCACAGCAGACATCAGTTGTATGTCATGTATAGAATTGATATCACAAATGTTGCATGCACACAAATGTGCTGATATACGTGTACGCGTGTGTATGCATTCACTTGCTCTTTGGAAGAGCTCGGCAAGGTTGTCGGGAGAGGAAGCAGTGTTTCTGGGCTTCCCGGTGCTTCCTCCCCTGCAGACAGAAGGCAGAGGTTTTATTCCCCATTTAGAAACAGGGACCAGAGGCTCCCCTGGAGGAGATAAGCAGTTTTCTCAAGGTCACAAGAAAGTCAGAAATGGGATCCATGCAACTCTTCCTGTTCCCTCTGCTTCTTTCCTTTGGGAGAAAAACCTCTCTTTGTTGATTTTAATGGTTTACTTTGGAAGCTACGTTTTAAAATTCTCCCTCCACACACATCAGTCAGAAGAGTTCCAGAGCTGAGCATAGCAAATGTCCGTATATTTCCACTCGGTTTGAGAAGTTACAGACACAACTGTAAATCTGTTGCACACACAGTTGAAGCCCCTGCTAGGCCCACCTCCCGTCCCATTCATCCCATTTGCTGCTGCTTCCCCCAGAGGTGAGCTTTGTTTTGAATATCATTGCCATGCAAGATTTTATTTTTTTA